ATATTGAAAGTTCCAGGGAGTGGCAGACACCGTACCAGTCTCAGCAAATGATGCAAAGTCAATGATACACTCATACGCGTTGAGATAATTCCTTGATACGTTGCGTGAGTCGGTGGAAAGCTTTAAGATAGGATCAACTCACTCATCACCTCGATTCGCGTATTGAAGAGCAATGATTCGCCACTTATCACTTGTGACGCAAGGCATTCCGTGCATAATCCATGGTTGGAGTTCCACATTCTCATCTAATAATGGAAGAGAGCCAAGGGATCGTATGGATACCGGGGACCGCTGTTCGAAGGTGCCAATCTGAGCTCCAAGATCCCAAAGCATTACAGCTCCTTCGAAACTCATTGACGCCAGAAATCGGCCACCGGGGAAGATAACGACATGTTCCAAGCCCTCAGGCTCTTGCAGTGAGTCGCCAGACCCTAATTTCATTGTATACTCCCGTATACAGCCAGGATTGGGAGAGGAAAGCTTGAACATTAAAAGGTATGGTCGCAATCGCGCTCGCTCAAGTTCGGCAGAGCTCATCGTGTCGAAAGGAAACGTGCATAATGGTGCATGGTTTCGTATGCATTCAGCCACCAGGGAACGCTTCCATACAATACGTTCCCGTGAAAGGTTATGCAGGAATACTGACGCCTAAAATTTGTACCCAATGAGGGTTGGATATCATGAGCCGTTCACTGACAAGGCATGGCATCTGGAAAAACATTTGCTAACCATCCGCATGCATAGAATATCCCGAGGGTCATCTATGAATGTAAAGACATAAAGCCATTCATCCCTTCGCAGTTGAGAGTTGGGCATATCCGTGGATGAAGGACCAGACAAACTATTGGGACGAACGCCACGGCTATACTTGAAGGAGTCTTATTAGAAGGCTGTTGGTTTGTCCCAGATGACCATAAGTGCCAATATTCACATTGCAATATCAATCCGGATGGTGATTGCGCGAGTGAAAGGCTGTGTTTGACGGTTCTGGTCGACACAAACAGACATACATACTGGGAGAGCACGTTGAGTCCTCTCAAACAAACAGGATATGAAAGGTTTTCCGCGCGTACTCGCTTTGAGGGTCTCTCACCGTATCTCTCACGATTGCGAAGCCATCAATACCGCTTCTTCTGGCCTTATAATCAGTTCACCCTACCTCGACATCATGGCACCGAAATCCTCTTTCATCCTACTAGAGGTACATATCATGGAAGCACGACAGAATATCAAGAATTTCTTGGGACCCCTAGTCGCCATCATCTTTCTTCAACACTGTCCGCTATGAGGGATTGGAGCAATATTACGCCCCGCACCTCCTGAACATAAACTTGTTTTAGTAAGATCCTAGTGATTCAGGTAGCTGCCCGAAATTCGCGATCAAAAACTTCTTATTGGTCAAAGTTCTCGGCTGACAGTGATATCGTGTTTAGTAATTCCGGGGACGCACCCCCTCCTTCCAAATGTGGCATCAACCAACACCCTCACCACTGATAATACACTGGCGAAGCTGGAATGATATATGGTACCGTGAATGGATCATCTGCTACTTCTCGACGGACATGGCTCTTCAGGTTGTTTTTCGGCTTTGTGCGAATCCCGACATCGTGGGCTCTGTTTGAACTTTTCAGAGCCATTCGCAAGAGACCACCGCATAGCTCAAGTCCAAGCAGTGTTACCTCACTCTGGGATGCTAGCGACATCCACCGTCGTCATCACCACCGACTGTGAGAGATAAGATTGCCGCTGTTCTCACGAAGCACAGAGCCGCCACTTCGTATCTTCCGTTGCGCAAGGGGACTAAACGGTATCAATTGTTTGCGCCGGCGTCTTGAAACAAGCGAAATCTCACTGCGCTGGCGTATCCTTACCAACGCAAACAGGCCATGGAACGTCAAACCTTGTGTACCATTGGGCAAGACCTACTATTGGAGCTATTCCGGTTTTTCGATGATCCGCGAGACTTACTGTGCCTACGGCTGGTATGTAGTGTCAAGATAGCCTTTGCGCTCTTTCTACGGGGATTTCCTTGTAACTAACCACTTGACCACATCATCATCTCTGAAATCCACTCTCTCCCCAGGTTTCAAACTATTTCAATGCAATGACGCGTAAACCCGTTGTGTGGAGGCGCATACTTCAAGCCCAATGCTCCCAATACCACATACCCCACTGCACATATATGACGTCACGAACCACGAGTGCGGACGAACTGGAGCGAGCAGTGACTAGGCCTTATCGTTTTGTGAGCAAGCTTGCATCCTCAGATCCAGCTTGCATACTTGAGCGAATCGTCAGGCTACGGACTAGCCCAGTTTCCAGCACAATCGAGCACTTGAAGTCCCTCGTGAGCCTCCCCAGGGGTCGATTTGTGATTTCCATCTCCTCAATTAGCAATATCGGGATTTGGGACTTTGGCCATCCCTCAGACTCCAGCCCGCACCCCAAGCCTCGTCTACTCCTGTGCTTGCAGCCTCCCGCTGACGTAGCGGGTCTCAAAGGATGTACGGTTCGTGCATTGCCTACCATCTCTGATGATGAGTGGAGGATAGTAGCAATATTTGAAGCGACAGCAAGGTACACCTGCAGCCTTGTCCAAAGAGAAGTGATTAATTGAGGCATTGCTTTCTTAGGACAGACTACTCCATCTATTCTTGCCTCGTTAGGCTGTCTTTGCTCCTTGGAGACTTGTGCACCGATGAATCCCACTCGGCGTGGCAACCAATGGGCACGTCGGCGGATGTACCTGAGCATAGTGCTGATGGACGGTGGCTGGTCCGCTTCAGTCCTCCTTACATCCACTTGCACGATCTGTTACGGCAGAAAACCGGGATAATCTGCCCAATGCAAGGAGAACCTGTACGCTTTTGATTGCTTTTGCAGCATGAGGCGTTCCCTTACTTCTCCGGTCTCAGTACTCCGTCGTCTATATTCACGTCGGTCCATGTGAAGCCAAGGACAGTGACTTAGTCGACACCACAGTGGTGATTAATACAGGACGACCTGTTCGAGCCCAAATCTATCAATATAGAGTGGCCCTCAACGATTCTACCCCTGCACTTCCATCTGACATTCGAACAACGGAGCCCCTTGACATCAAAATTTTGTCATTCTGTGTGGACTCGTCTATTTATCCCAATATTATGGGTCCATTGTATGGAACCGAGCCGCCCGTTATTCTGTTTGGGGGTATCTCCCCACGAGTCTTCCGCATGGGTTACACACAACCCCCCGGGCCTACCAATGAATTCCCCGCGTTAATGCCAGCAGAACACCTCAGCGAGGAAGTCACTTTCGAAATAGGGGATATCTGCAGAGTTGGAGATAAACTCGCGGTATTTGGGACAGAAGCAGAGAATAGACAAGAGGTTCTCTGCAAAGTGGTCCGAGAAACATGGGAGTCTCCGGCTTCTGCGGGGAAACCTGGACGGGCTATTGCTGTGCTACCTGCTGGCGCCTTGATCCACCGAGACTGGTATGAAAGTGCATGGCGGGGCTCGTGCTATGCCATCGGTAACCAAGACCAGCATTGCGGGGAAGTGAGGATTTATGACTATGTAGACTGATTTGTGGGTCCGTGAGGGCAGGGTGGGCGCATTTGAAACCTTAGATTCTATTCAATCTAATTCATTACCAGAATGTCCCAACTGTTGCAAGGAATTCAAGTATTCGGATGCGCAAACAAAGGTGGAATGGAGCCAACGTCAAATTTTGGGATAATTATGTAGGAATAGCATGCTATCACCTTTTCACCATAAAATAGAATCGTTTGTGAAGTGAGAATGTTGTTTCTTGAGGTATCATCAATGATAATTAGGCTCAATGTGGCTCTGAACTCTATCAGCTCCGGGGGTCTCCCCTCAATCAAATGAGTATAACATGGCTTTTATAATAATCTTACGGTCTCCATAGCGATAAGGTCTCTCGGAGTTCAGGATCAATATCCATTTACCACGGACAGGATCTGGATGTATTTGTGCTGTGCCGTCCTGCGGTCAGCACAAACACATTGAGGTAGCTGTGCCAGATCATGCTAGTAGCTACAGAATCGATCGAATAGGCGGAGTTTCACGGGGATAGCATGAGTTTTCTCAGTACAACAAAATGACAGACTATCATAAAGTTTGTTGATAGAACCTTGCCAACGGTGACATTGTATCCAAGTGGTTACGGAGATTGACTTGAATTGTATATTCATCGTATCAATTGGGCTTCGCCCGCGCAGGTTCAAATCCTGTCAATGTCGCTATTTTTTGGCTGTTTAGCATTCCCTTTATCTGTATTTTTTACGTCTGTGCTCGAAAAATCCAGCACAGCCATTGAAAACCTTGTTTTTGGCAGTGTGGTCAATTTGGCGCCGTCAGAGTTGTTTTGCGGCATCGTCAATTTAATGGAACCATTCAATAGCCTCTCTAGACACTTCATGCAAAGTTTGAAGCATATCGGATGTGAATCGACGAAGATTTTGTGTTGCGGATGTTGGCGGGTTCATGCGTCACTCGTGGGAATATTGATCTTCTGGACTCAGACACCATGATATATGCTTGGCACTCCTCCAAGGTTATTATGCTCAAAGGTCATTTATTTCATCCAAAGCACGGCTGATGCATTTTGAGATAGCTTTAATATTTTTCTAACGCGCTGTGACGCCGCTGTTACATAGGATAAACCAAGTTCCAAACAAATGCACACAAAACCGCCTTCCCGAAATGCTCCTAACTATCAAAATTCCTTCTTAAAAAGAGCAGTGGGAACATAATCGCTGGATGGGACAAGCTCTCCGTCCTGATATGGCAAAAGCGTAGCAGGTGTAAGATGGTTAGTGATCAGATGTACACGCTAAAAACATATATCAGAGATCATTTTCCAACATTTCATGATAATAGGTTCAATAAGGACGACCCATGTGTCCCAGATGGGAGAAGCAACCTCGTCAAACTACAGGGTTGGTGACTGACTTCTTGGAAGGTGGAAAAAGGTGCGGGCCGCCAATAATCGATGAGAGATGGATCACTGCTGTTGCACACGCTTATGCTGACCCTATTTGATGGCTTTTAGGGAGAGGCTCAACGATCATCTGACGCAGCTTTTCATTCCCCCTAAAATCGTCAATAAGAATAAGTGGCGAACTATTCGCACGGTTCGAGGAGTTATCAGGGAGAGACGAACTTGATAAGGTCTTGGTTGCGAAATGCCTCCAGCTTCTCGACACCTCGGCGCAGACCATCAAGATGCACTTCAAGTGGGACCACGCCGTCAGCCCCGACAAGCGCGGGGCGAGCGACACGATCACGCAGGTCAGACAAGTCTTCGGAGAGCTTGTGGAGCTGATCAATCGTTGTTTGTACGCGATCACGCGCAGTGCTCCGATAGCGAGACATCTGAGCTAGAAGGTCCCGATGTTCCATGAAGAGGGCAACTTCGTTTTTATTGCCGCCAAGGATAGTCCAGAGCTGGGCCAACTGTGATGCAAATTGTGGACCTGCGTCAATAACCTCAGTCAACGAATGAAAGAGTAGAATGCCAACCAGTTCTTCTCCCTCGCGTTTGACGACCTTGTTTTCAGCGAGAATCATTTCGTGCAAAGTCTCTTGGGTACCGTCTAAGCGGTTGAGAAGCATCAAGACGACTTCAGCTTCGGTGACAAGGCGCTCAAGCTGCTCTGCGGTGACCTCAGACGCTCGCTCAAAGGTTAATGCTAGCTCCCGCCTTTGTTCACGACGAATGGAATCCGACTTCCGAAGCATAATCATGTTGAAAATAGTAGAGCCACTACCAAACCCCCCTCGCTCGATTCGCTCGAGGCGTTTGAGTGCAAAACTGTCATCGTGTTGAGAAAGGTGCCTTTGGGAACACAAACGTTAGACTCACTCATCCATAGCGATTATTCTGGATCGATGGTCGTTCAGTCAACCTTGCGTAGGAACGTACTGAAATTCCCATAAACTCACGTGTCAAGAGAACCTCCAACGCGAGAGCTGAGCCGCTGAAGGCCCCTTGTGGCATCCTGAGCATCAGCTGTGAAACTCTCCATCTTTCGGACCAGCGCATCTTTTGAAGCTAGCTCGCTCACTCTCAGCTGAGCCGTAAGATCACGCATAACAACATCTGTTTTTCTGATACTGTGAGTCAGGCTATAGTCTCCTTGCATTTCTACTACATTCTCCAGCCGAGACTGGAGCGCAAGGAGTTCCGAGTAATCGGCAAGAGGTGCATCCTGAGTCCTTGTGTTCCCAACATAGGCACAAAACGGGAGTAAACCAGATACGATGGGTGCCATACAGATGGGAGCCAGAGCAGATTCCACCTGAATGAGGAATCGCCCCGCCATCAAGAGAAGGCAATAAAGAACAAGTATTACGACGCTAATATAACCAGGTAAGTTTCAAGCGCCAAGAAAACCATGAGCAACCCACATTGGTTTTTGCAGCAGCACAAAGGCAAATGAGAGCACGTTAATAACACCCTTTAAGGTATCGCCTATCGTGAGCAGCAGAGAGTTGAACAGGCGATTGATGCGCTCTGCGAGGTATTGTGCGGTTTCGGGAGGAGGAGGAGGAGGAGGAGGAGCGGGGAGGGAAATAGGATGTGGAAGAGGACGTATTGGGGCTGGTGGGGATGCCCGCGAGTTGCGAGGCCTAGGTCCTGAGTCTTGGGGTGGAAAATAAACCCCCTCTAAATCGTTCGGTGCGCCATTCTGACGAGCTTGGCCAAGGTTTTTCATCTTGTTATGCCGTTTTTTCGGACCGACTGGGCTTAAGGGAGGTGAGGGTAAAGTGACACCCACTACATTGAAACGATGCGAAAGTTCTGTGTACAGTCGTTTCTTAAGTTCCCGTTCATCCGAAGGCGATGAGATATTGTTTCTTGTTGTATGATCCATAACTGGAGTCTTTGAAGATGCAGACGACACATCAGCCATAGCTCATTCTCAGTACTACCCATGCTGCCAAGCCAAATGGTCGCGCGCACCTCTCTACGAATGAAAAAGCTATGCCTGAGGCTAGGAAACCAGTTCTAACACCAATGAGGGAGTATTTGCCTGTGTGAAGGGAAAGAGGGGCAAGGCAAGAATTGACGCTGGGATTGGGATACAGACTGTTTCAACGATATATACCCATGGCTTTGAATTCTGGCGCCAATTAGGTAAATTTGTTATGTGTGACAACTGAGAGTAGACCGGGCAATTGTATCAAAAAGGAGATGTGAGGCTCATATGAAATCAGCCGATAGATTTAACTTTATGATCAGCTATAATCGCTGCTCCCAATCAGCCAAGATATCACGAACTTCCAAATCAAGCTGATCTACCCTTAGGTCAGACCGTAAGTTGTCCCTGATTTACAACAGCCTCTCAGAGGCTTCCGCTGTGAACTGGTGCCTGTTGAAGACCCTGGGAATATAAACAACACATCGATACCTTCGCTTTGGTCATCTCAGAACTTCAGCGCCTCTTAGACTGCAGAACAGCGCGATAACAGAATCCTAGTAAGTTTTCCTCTTGTCAAGGGTAACTCATGACAGGCGCCACTATGACGGTATGTGACCAATGTTTTGTTGTTGAAGATGTCCTCGTAAGTCTTCAATCGGTAGTCCTCAAGTTTTTTGACTGACATATTGTAGCCGGAGATTCTTTCTATATCAGGCAATTATTTTAGGTGGTCAATTGTTGACTTGATCATCTTGGGGTCCTACACTAGCGACACTTATGAATCCACTACTGATGACCAGAATTGATTGCTAGGTTGTACAGTGATACAAGCCAACAACATGATTAGAGTATATGCCACTGATTGACGGGAATAAACGAGGAATGGAGGGGGCAAATCGAGCCGAAGATTACAGAGGGGTATCGCGTATACTTTATTAATGCGTTGATCGTGGGAGAGATAGTCACTGAGGCTCACTTCCAGTTTGGTCATGATAGGAAGAATTCAGCAACAGGCAGTGCACCTACGCGGACCCTATCTGTTGACTTTCAGGTAGTGGCTCGATAAGCATCTGTCGAAGCTGTTCGCCTCCCCTGGGTTTGCCAAGTGAACGACATTTGTCAGTGTCTCGTCAGATGTAAAGACACAAATAGTGAGAGACAAACCTCTTGAGGTCTTGATTGCGGAATGCCTCGAGCTTCTCGACCCCTCGGCGCAAACCATCGAGATGCACCTCGAGTGGGATAACACCATCAGCGCCAATAAGTACTGGCTGAACGACCCGATCACGTAGTTCGGACAAGTCCTCAGAAAGCTTGCGCAGTTGATCGATCGTTGCCTGAACACGGTCGCGTGCAGTATCTCGATAACGAGACATCTGGGCCAACAGCTCTCGGTGCTCCTTGAAGAGAGCGACACCAGCTCTATTGCCTCCAAGGATCGTCCAGAGTTGGGCCAACTATGATACCAGTTTATGGGAGCTGGTCAGTAAACTGAACGAACGAATGAGATGAAGTGCTGACCAGTTCGCCTCCCTCGCGTTTGATGACCTTATTCTCGGCAAGAATCATTTCGTGTAGAGTGTTCTGCGTATCGTCCAATCGATTGAGAATCATCAAGACAACTTCCGCTTCTGTGACAAGCCGCTCAAGCTGTTCTGCTGTGACCTCGGAGGCTTGCTCGAAAGTCGACGCCAGCTCCTGTCGTTGCCGAATGCGTACTGATTCTGGCGAACGAAACAGGATCATGTCGTAAATCCTAGACCCAGAAGTAATTTGGCCTTTCTCGATTTTCTCCAGGTGCTTGAGTGCGAAACTGATGACAGAAATATAAGAGGATGTCGCAAAGACTCAGAAGCCGGACTTACTCATCCATAGCAATGATTCTGGTTCGGTGAGTTTACGGTCAGTATATGGCTCGGTAGCGTTCCATAAGATTCCAACTCACGTGTCGAGCGAACCTCCAACGCGGGAGCTGAACCGTTGGAGACCTCGGGTTGCATCGTGTGCGTCAGCCGTGAAGCTTTCCAGCTTTCGGACCAATGCGTCTTTAGAAGCTAGCTCGCTGACCCTCAGATGAGCCGTAAGGTCACGCATCGCGACCTCGGTCTTTCGCACCCTTTGCGTCAGGCTGAGGTCCCCCTGCATTTCGACGACGCTTTCGAGGCGCGACTGGAGTGCGAGTAACTGGGAATAGTCAGCAAGAGGTGCATTGACGTTCTTGAAGGCGTCTAGATGGGCGCAGAAGGGAAGGAGGCCAGAAATGATTGGGGTGGTACAGATGGGAGCGAGTGCAGATTCAACATGTACAAGGAATC